GAACCCCATTTTCTATCACAACCCAGTGTCGCACCGGAAAGTTGCAGACCTGGATCTCATAGGTCGTCAACTCCATGGTGCCGTCGGCGGTGGGGAGAGTGGTCCCCATCCAGTACCACTGGACCACTGCGCGGGACCAGAAAAGCAAAGCCAACACTTCTGGTGTGAACACAGCTTCCTGTTCGAGAGTGGCCCGACTGGGGAACCCTCTCTGTCCCCGCGGCGTCGGCAAAGTTGTGGCCCGGCCGTCCCACAAGCTGGCCATGACCCGGCGCTGGCCGAGGTCACGTCCCAGCGCCGGAACGGCGGCCACAAGGCTCCGCACGGCCTGGCCTTCCACCCAATCTCGCCGGTGGCGAGCAAATTCGTGGGAAGCGGCGGCCAGGCTCGGCGGACACCACGCGGGAGCCGCTAGTGCCACGACCGCACGGAAGATGTCCAGCAATGTCATCTTGGGGACCGAAGTTGTTTGCTCTGCGAACCCAGCTGCACTCGAGCCAAATACACCCGCCCTTGCCGGCAGAACAAGGTGGGCCAGAGAACCCAAAAGCAAAACGGCACAGAGCAAACCATTTTTTCCTGCATGTCGGGAACAGCACTGTGAGCTCAAGCCTACGACGCAATTTGGACGTCTTTCCAGTTGCTGTGGATCAATCATTGCATTGGTCCTCATGTGCATCCGTGGATAGATTGATCCCTTCCAAACATCCATTGGTTGATCATTTCATGCATATGGCGAATGGAGCCATGCCAACCTCCAAAGCAACTGAAAACGATTGGTGCGTGTCAACCATATGACGAAATTGCAACGATTCTGGGCTAACTGTGCTCTGCACGAACAGTGATGTGAACACTGGTGGTTTTTGGTCTCATTTCAAAGACCGGCGGAAACAGCCACAAAGACAAACAACACTGAAACATATCTACAAATAAAACAGAATTAATACTGCTTAGTTCTATATAGAATATAAATTCATATTTATATATCTATATATATATATATAGAGAGAGACATAAAAAACATGTTATATATATACATATGTAACTATTTATTTCCACGTGCATGGCTATGTTTTATGGAAATGTTTCGCTTCAGGTTCATCCTCGGGTTCGCATTTTTTATTCCGTAAATGGGATCAAACCCAAGCATGACACGTCTTGAATGCGGAACATGAACCACTGCATGAGTGCCGCTGCATGTGAGCATCACGTCCTCAGCAGCAACAACATGTTCAAAGCCATCTTCAAACAATTCCACGTGGTCTGCAGGAACACTTCTACTGTTATAAATTAAAAGGGTGAAACCATATTAGGCAAGAATATATATGTTTTCTTTTAGAGACCCTCCCTCCCTCCCATTGGGCTTGCATAGATGCAAGAGCGCATTCCATCCCCGACAATTTCTATGAGCGCCTTCCACAATATCTTCAACACATGCATTCAAACAACTCGACAGAAGTCCTTGGCATGGTGCAAGCCGCTCCTACGAGCAAATCTAAATGAAAAATGCCAGAAACCGCCAACTCAGCAATGACATGGGGACTCCCCCGTACCAGAAATAGCGACTAGAAGAATGTAGACATAGCTGTGGTGAATTGTGGCCCCTGACATCATCAGTGTTCATGATGTCTCAAGAAAGTTCAACCAGTTCTTGTGCACCTTCCTCCCCTTTGTTGGTCTTTTGGCGCTGCATCATTTTTTTCGCGGCTCCATGAATGATATATCAATCGAATCAAAACCTGTGCATTCAAATGGGGCAAAGCAAAGTAAGCAAAAACATCATGTCGTGGCAAGCCAATGATCACTCATGACATGCGGTCCAGAGGCAACGCACCCATGTCCAATGAGTGCACAGAAAAGATGTGGCTCGGAGGACAAGACAGTTCCCCATGTGTTCCCATACCCTTTGCAGTTATCATCCTGTTTTGACCACTGCGGTGCAGACTGCTCCATACGGCCAGGCGGGGCCATCCACTCGTGGATGAAATCAAAAAGACCGGTTGAGATGTTACACTCAACCTAAATGGTGGATGTGCTAACTGGAATCGGCGGTAGCCCTCATACATCAACCAGTTCGTGGAGCGGCACAAATGGACGTCTCGCTGAGGAAAGACTTCCTGCTCTGACTAGCAATGTGAAATCAGCAAGTGCTGCTTTCACAGAGCGTAGAAAGAATCGCATCTCTTCATCCAACAGGTCTGAGGCAGCAAATGCCCAATCTTGCAGCAATATAACAGCGGCGTCTAGGTCTTGGATCCAGGCCATGGCCTTGGCTGCAGTCATGGATCTGGTATAGGTGAGCACTGTCGGAGGGTAAGGTGATGATGTGATCATTGGTCAGCACGATATGGGGATTCGACCCCTGGCACCTCCAATCGAACCTGCGTCAACATGGAGCATAGAACTGCAAAGGAAACCCAATGCATCTGCGTAACCACCGTCCGACATGCCAGTTCGAGGGCATCCACCATGCGCTGGACTTGCTCCCATCTGGATTCTGCTGCTTCAGCATTGCACCAAAGTCGCACGAAGGGCTTGAGGCGCAGTGACTCATCTTCCATGGGAAGTTTTGGCATTGTGCCGCAGCTGCAGGGCCACACCGAGTTGAAAGTTGGTACTCCACCCTCACAGCGTACTTGAACCTCAACAGACTCCCGGATAACAGTGGCTGTACATGCTGTGTGCAATGAAGCTTTGAACCTGCGACACTCCTGCAAAACTGGGTGGTCATGCATATCCATAATGCAACCTGCATGTTTTCATTGTCACACTCCTATAGCCGCTTTGCCTACGCGGTTCTGACCGTGAAAAACTGGATGGTCATGCACATTCACATAGCAATGTGCATGCTTTCACTGTCAAACTCTTATCACGCGGAAATCTTTTTTGGCATCCTCCCTCCCTCCCTCTGCCAAAACAGGTGCCGCTTTGCCTACGCATTTCTGACATCATTCTGACACCCTTGCTCCTCTGGTCACAGCAGCACCATCGCGTGGTATACAGCTCCCGTCCTGCAAATGCGGCATGCACCACACTGTGGTGGAGAAGATACAAGCTAGACTGAAAGCAACATTCAGCAAGAACTACGAGTCGGAATTTTACTCAGACGAAGCCTAGACAGCGAAGTATTCACCCGGGTTTCTCGAAACTGCCAATGAGCACTTCTCGGTTGGAGGCTATAGAGGCATGCAAACAACGCAATTTTTTGTTCGCAGTCACAGCCAGGAACTTGCAGAAGGAAGCTGGCCAGAAGTCGATCCATCCGATTTTAATGCAATGCATATCACCTCCAAAAATTAACACCTGATTGCCAGGTGGTTGACCTCCAGTTCAGGGCGCCACTCATCACAGCGTTCTTCTCCTTTTTCAATGGTTGTATTGGCTTCCACCCAGACAGAATGGATGTGGACATCTTTTGAATGAAACACCCATTGACCACCACCTCTTGGGCGATTACGCAACACATTTTCAAAGTTCACCCTCACCTCCAGTATGACGCGGTGATATGCGCACTCAAATGGGAATAGTTTGTGCCCTCTCGCATACCAACGCGCTGTGTCCCAGCGAGGGCTTACGTAAACACCAGGTTGCCAAAACTCGTGCCCCAGGTCAATGCTGTGAGATTCCAGCAATCTGCCAATGCGCACAATAGCGGCCAATGAATAGAACCACGTTCCATGATATGCACGCAGCCAGTGCGCCGGAGCAGGTTTCTTCTTGCTCAGAAAATGGAAGTAGCCGTTCCTTTCCAAACCAGGTGTCAAGAATTTGTGCAATTTTCTGGCCTTCAGCCAACTTTCAAAATGTATTCTGCCGTTTTTTAAGCAGTAGGCCTCCGCTGGTTTTATGGCCGGCTTACCCCGCCCCCGAGCAACCAACCGCCATTGAGCAACTTTGGCTCCCCTGCTGAGTTCAGATTGTTGGACTTGCCATGCAAATTTGGCGCAGCGTCTTAGCAGCCTTAGATTTCGCAAGGCTGTGCTACGTTTGAAATACCGTCTCAGCATGGCAGGCACGCTTCCTGGAGTTTGCGAACCAAATGGCTACGAACCACCCGGATATACTATTGATAATATTGGCTTAGCGATCAGAAACCTAGTTCAAGATCCCAGGGTCCATTGCACAGGAAAGACCAGCCAGGAAACAAACCTGCAGAAAGCCATATTCATCTTGCCGTGTGCCCCCACCGGTCCTCTCATTTGTGGTCAGAACGATTCGTGGTCAGAACGATTCGGACGTGATTTGGACGCAACGAAAGTTGCTGCGGAGCACTCAGTGCATTGATTCCCATGTGCACCTGGACCTGTGGACAGATTGATCCCTTCCAAAGCAATTAAAAACGACTCCTGTGTGTCAGCCACATCATGAAATTGCCACGATTCTGAGCCAAGTGTGCTCTGCACGAACACTGATGTGAACATCTAAGTGCATGGTCTGATTTCCACGCAATGATTAGTCACGATGCTCTGAAATCTGTCGAAATCACATATTGTGATCAACTTGTTTGTCAAACTCACTAACGCTAAGGTCTTTCTTGGCATCCTCCCTCCCTCCCTCTGCCAAGCTGTCGCTTTGCCTCAACATGTCGACCTAAAATTCGAATGCGCAAGTATCCTGATAGAGTTCGAATGATCAACAATGTTCAAAGCCTCGACAAACAACAAAGGCAAACTGTGATTCTTCCTTCAGACCCAACCATCGCAACGACATGAAACTGGCAATGGCACCGGCTATGTTTTGCTTTGCTTTCTCCACAGTTCATTGAAAGCTGCTAGTTGCCTGCAGGCAAGCAAATAGTCTGTTTTCATTTTTCATGGCGGCACGCCTTTTTTTCTCAGGCCAGCTTTGGGCCTTAGTCAGAATGTATTGCAAACATGTAGTTCAGGACGCCGTAGCTCTACGGCATCTTTCAGCATCGTTCCATAGCCAAGCTCAGGCTCAACAGCAAGACACACAGCTGAGCAGAATACGTTCGGTTCTCCAGTCAAGACTTGCCACCTCTATTTCCGTTTTCTTCTCGGCGGCTCCTCTGCCCGTCTCTCTAAACGTTCCGCTAAGTTCCGGTGGCTGCTGTCCGGTTTTCTCTTCTGCGACCGCTGCGCCACGGCAGCATCCCACTCAGCAGTGTTGTACACATATTCGTTTCCCAGACCTTTATGCCGAGCTGGCAGGCAAGCGAAAGAAGGAAAGATTTTCAGATCTGCTTGGCGCAGCGTCACAAGCTTTTGGGTCTTTTCGTATCGTTTCTCCAGTTCAGCAAAGACATGGATCAAATACTCGGGAGGGCCATTTTCAAAAATGGTCCAATCTGGTTCCCCATTTGCATCCTCCGGAAAATTTAACAGCAAGGTTGTTGCGAGGGACGTGGCCCTTCCAAGAATCATGTAGTAGTGCAACCACTTGTCATCATTGCCATCCAGCAGTTTCAGGTCAATAGTATGGCCCATTGGCACTGATTTCTCATCTTCGGCCGTTTTACCTTGCATGTTGTTAAAGGTTCCTACCCCAGCTGGAGCTATGGGTAGCTGAGAACTTCGAAGGCCAACCTTGATTCTAGGGACTTTCTTGCGCTTCTGCACTTCATTGGGATGGTTGACTATGGCAGTTGCTTGGTATTGCAAATCCCAGTCAGCATTGGTAGGCTCCACCAAGTACACGCCTGGTCGGCCAGTACCCGTAAAATCAGCAGTGCAGCCATGAAGCCGAATCTCGACCCAACGTGGAACCATGTCGAGCTTTACCCAACCCCTACTCCAACATGGATGCCCTTTGTGTGGCATACCTCCAGGCCTGTGCAACTGACGAGGTAAACCATACCGTTCTTCTTCGTGGAAGCCAATCTGTAATATTTCTCCTGTTGCCTCCTGAACCACTTCTGGCGGACAGAGTTTGTGAGTTACTTTCACTGGCATTCCAAGATATAAAGGGCAAAGCCCTGCTAGCTTCCCTGTATCAGTCATGTTCACATGCCGTAGAGCGCTGCGTAGCAAAGCCTGCAGATCGTCCGGCGCAACCGCCCAACCAAAAAAAAAGGTTAGAAACAGAAAACAATAGATTGCATGCAACAAAAAGCCAAGGCTCCTTGTCATGAGCATGTTGCTGTGCTTGTGCTCTGTCAACACGTTGTGATAAGAACAGAAGTTGGCCACGAGATGCCGATAGCCTTCCCAGACATTTTTCGAACACCGGCGCCATTCTCCAATGCACGCGACTCAAATACGGGCAAAAGGTTTCCCAATAATACTGTGGTTCTCCTGCACGGCTATTTTGCAAAGCTTGCGGACCCCGACTAGCACGGGCGTTGCGGGCAGCCCACACTTGCTGCATCCGCGAAACCTGCTCCCAGTTCACCGCACTGTGCATCCCGTTGCAAAAGTTATTGTCTGAAAAAACATCCGATCCAAGCACCGATTTAGGGAATCTATAGAATAGTTTTGCTCGTGGATCTTTGCCACCCAATTGAATACGACTCAAGATTTGTTGCCTCAATGTCTCTGGTACTTCTGCGCCGCCGACAGTGCGCATAATCTGCAGCAGACGGATCAAGGGATCGTTTTCCTTGAATCGGTAGGTCCCTTTAAACTCTACGCAGGTCTCCGCAACCAAATCAAAAGTTTTCAGGCCTAACATCTCCATGTCGGTCAATGGCCGCACGCGGCCTTCATTCGCATATTCTTTGCGGGACATTAGAAATGCTTCCATGAGGCTAGGGCTCCCTTTCGGCACTGGCCGGAGCTGGGCAAAGTCACCTGCGTCAACATGCAGCAAAGGATTTCCAAAAGGTGCTTGTTTCGGCCCCACATCTTCAATTTGCCCCGCAGCCCGTTTTCCCCAGTATGCACGAGACGACAAAGTTCCATACAGTCCAGGGGCGGCAGCACCCACCTCATCATTGTAAACAAAGACAGCAGTCCCCCAAGTCGTTTTCAACTTGTTCTGAACCTTCCGGGACGGTTCCTCTGCTGTAAACTTTGCACTTTTCAGTAACCCTGCACAAGCATGCATGGTGTCGCCTGCGATCAGGCGAGCAGCACTGTTGGTGGAAGCTTGCTTACGACATTGCCCTGGCATAAACCACTGAAAAACGGCCATGACAACTTTAGTCAAGCAATAAGTTTTCCCTGACCCGCCAGCCCCATGTGCGAATACACGGACAGGTGGAACCTGCGCATCCTGGATGAGTTGTAAGCGGCCTTCCACAGAATTCCACTCCTTCAGACGACGCTCTGTGAGAGCATATTCCCAGACCCGGTGCAAAGGCCACACGCAACAAATGATCATTTCATATTGCTGTCTGTCCCAAGCTGCCCCACTTTGACACGCCAACCGGCGTGCCATCTCAGCTGGCGATTCAATGGCATTTTCGAAAGTGAATACTACATGAATTTTCGGCACATCTGTTTCACTGGTAATCACACGACTCTGTATATCATCTTCCGATTCAGATTCTCCACCGCCTGGGCCTGTCTTCTCACGGTTATTCTTCAACTCTTTCTGTGCTCGGAGCATTTGATTTCGCTGTGAAATCCAGTCTGCCAAACTCATGCCATCTGTGCCACAGAACTGTTTTTGCATCCTCATCTCGCAAGGGCATGCTGCCTTTAACTCTTCAGCGTAAAAATCGCGAAAGTTCTGGAAAAACTTCAAGACATTGTCTTTTTGACCTGACAAACACATCCAACGACAATAATTCTCAACAACCTGAATGCACACAACACAAACTGAATGCAACGCACTAGCCGCTAGCCCCGCGACCTCCTATACAACGTTTGACGCCGCGCCTCGCCCGTCTCTCCAGCCATCTAGTCTGTGAGCAATCTCAAGGACATCGCAATCTTGTATTTCCAGGTGCGGTTTATACTGTGAGCCTTTTTCCTCGGAATATGGCTGCTCCACTACAACATCATAATCATCTCCTGCTTCTCCGCCCGGGGTTTCTCCTTCAGCGGCCAACAGTTTTCCCACGACAGCTCCACCCGCATCATCATCTTCGTCTTCGTTGCTGACAGCGACTGCATTTGGGCGTGGTCTTTTGCGAGCTTCAGCAAGCAAATCCATATTCCATGACACCTCTGCTGTGATGCTGGCACCAAACTCTTCGGGAAACAATTGGTTCACATGAACCCCGGTGCCTGTTCTGACCACCGTCTTCTGGGCATCTGTTCTGCAACTTGACGCAGCCTTGTCCTGGGCATCAAGGGTGTCTGCTATAACCACATCTTCATTCCCTTCACCTTTCACATTCCCAGCAAAACGAAGAATGCAAACTGCGACCACATGTGGCAATGCTGGCAGTACCCCCACACTTGTGGGATGCAGCTTGACAAATTGCGCCTTGCTGTATATCGGATTGATGTCGGATCGCGTCCTCCTCTTTTGTCCCCAGGGACCTTTATAGCAATGCCGAAAACCGCCTCGCAACCAAGGCAAAAGCCATGACTGCACAATGGTCTTTCTGTTGCAACCAGGCACATACCATTCTCGGAATGGCGCCACATCATCCAGAACGCCCACACGACGCTCCAGTTTCAACTTTGCCCAAGCACGCTCTGCTCGTGTCAGTTGCAATGCCTCCCAAGCTTTCCACGCTTCTGTGAAACGTCGCTCGCCCCTGGAAGGCTGAGCTTGCCCGGCAGGCTTTGTGTATCCAAAGAGTATGCCTTGCTGTGACCCAGCCACAGATGACAACACATGACCTGCTAGCCAAGCCACATCTTCGCAACACCCTTTGCACACTCTGCTCGGCTTCATCAAGCACAGATGATACAAAGCATTCGTGGCAGGATCCGCGCTTCTCGTGGGCATGGTGAAGCCAACCATGTAAGGAACTCGTGGAGATGGTTCGAGCACCTGTACGAAGCCAGCATATTTCTTGTAATGGTGCACAAAGGCAAAGCTCCATTGAAAGCGCAGGCCATCAGATTTCGGCACAACCCTGACATACATCGCGTAGAGATAATGGCTCATCCAAGCAAGGTCTGGGCCACGGTGGTACCAATCGTCGACAAATGCATCGTTGCTCACTTGGACACTATACTTCCCATCCGCTTGCTCCACTTCGATCAGGGTTAGGGCCACGTCT